GTGTGTGTAGCAGGCCAATATATGCCCTAGTTAAACTAGTATTTTACCCAAAACACATGGTGTATGTATGATGTGTGTAGCAGGCCAATATATGCCCTAGTTAAACTAGGTAGTTTACCCATAACAACTGGTGTATGTATGATGTGTGTAGCAGGCCAATATATGCCCTAGTTAAACTAGGTATTTTACCCACAACAACTGGTGTATGTAGGATGTGTGTAGCAGGCCAATATATGCCCTAGTTAAACTAGGTATTTTACCCATAACAACTGGTATATGTATGATGTGTGAAGAAGAATGTAACGATGTTGTACTGCACCAGTTAATAAACTGTGACAGTCTGGTGCAAGAAAGAAATATCCTCTATGAGAAAATGTTTGATTTACTGTGCCTTAACCAATATCTTAAAATAGAAGATTGTACAGACAACGAAGTGAGAGTTGTGACACTACTTGGTGGCATTACGCATCTTGTAGAGGAGATGACACTCGATACATGGGCTCAATTCATAATCATAGTCAGCAAAGAAATAAGCTCATGGCAGCTTACGTCTATTCACTATCTGCAGGCTGACTGTATGCATATCTGTTATCATGCATGTACATACTGATTAATTAATTTCCATGTTTATACTCTCCGATACTAATGGAGGAAATAAAGATGAGTAAGACATTATAATCTGGTGTCAATGGTATAAAACAAGATGTTTTTGTATGTATTTGCAGAAATACAAGCTGCCCCTTCATCACAAATATTTTTCCCTCCAAATTTTTGCTTGCAACCAGTTCAATGCACATCAACAAGTTCAGAATGGGACTCATAAAATGAATCTATACTGGTATGGCCTGTCGGTGACCATGGACATCCTTAAACACTATCAATACGAGATTCATAAGCATTGAGCACAGGCGAATCATTTATAACATTCTCAATATATATATATTCAGTGATGCATACCAACTGAAATCATCTCCATTGTGTTATCACCAGCTGCACCTTTGAATGGAATCGCTTAGTGAACTTTTAAGGAAGATTAGATATACTTTACGACCGCTTCATTCAATTATAAACGCATCGCCTCCATTGCAAGGGAAGTAACTCGTGCTGCGCTATCTGTGGGCTGATGGCAAACATCTTGTCAGTTCAATAAGCAATTGAGATAAGATTTCTGAAGAGTTCGTGAGATTGAATTAAAGCCGCTTTGAACGGTATTTCAGTTATATCAAGGCGTGTCAGCGTCGTGAAGGAGAAAAACAAGTGATGAGGCCATGGCGCTGAAAACAAAACAAAATGTAATCCGGACGATAATGGGATTCTGACCCTTTGATCTCATCGGATTGTGGCACAGCCAATGGACGTACCTACATGCATACATGCATAACGATAGACGACTCGGCTACACATGTCTCCTGTGTACTTCAGGTTATAACAAATTACAACAGACACTTACTGATTGAGTGAGGGAGTATAAATGCTTATTGATGCAACATACATTCATTGTCATTGGTACAGAAAATTCGAGGGTGATTAAATGCTTGATTTAATCAGAAATATACCATTAATCATCGGAACATAAACACATAGAGTGTAAGAAATTTTATTTTCGCATTAACGAAATCCCGGGAACTTACTAATGTCCCTCCAAATTTGTATGGACATTGCTACAGAAATCGTCCAGAAGGTGGGGTTTCCTGACAATCGGGGTCCGACTAACGGAGATTTTAATAGAAGACTGATCTGAATATCTCCACACATTATGATAGTATTGGTAGTCTATTCTTAGCAACGTATAACTTTCAGTAACCTTTAACGGTAACGCTGACTTAAGCGGATTAGTTCAATCCCCAGGAGCGTTATATGCTTGCCACTGTTCGCAGGAGAACACTTTTGCAACTGACACTTTGTGAGGTGTGAGGTATAACTCTAAATCCCTACTGTCAACACGAATGCGGTCGTCCTCGTCAGCTGATGTGTGGTACTCGCACGTAGTGCTGTCAGTCATGTTGATGCAGGAGTTGATTAGGAAATGCCACGGGTGTTTATGCTGATATATCTATTTATATAGGGCCGATTATTTTATTTGGGATGGTAGCATTAGTGTCAAATCAACAAGAAACACTACCTTGTTAGATGAAACTTGACCAGTATCTTTTGATGATAAGCAAGAGTCCAGCCGTGTCGTGTACCTGAATTGTAACACATTTGACATTTTCCAACGGTTGCTGGGCACCGGAATGTGAACGCTGGCGTTCCCTTAGCCCCACTGTGAGAGGACGGGACCTGACTGTGCAGCATGTGAAGGAACAAACCGGCATTAGTGAAACATGGGAGCATTTCGCATTCCTCAGTCCGTAGGTTCATTAGGGCAATGAAACAACTACCCATAACCGCATCAAGGGTTATGGAGGAGATTCCAGGTGACATGTTAGAGACAAATGTTTATCTCTCAGAGCACGTTTGGCACTGGTCGGGCTGTAGCTTTGTAGATTATGCAAATCGCATTTTCAATAAATACTCAACTGTTGCATTATTTACAACCCGTGTATATATACCATGTCAATATACCATGAAAGAATAAAATATTCTTATGTACATGAACTCAAGCATTGCTTTTCTGTTTCATTGAATAAAGTACCCTGTACTTATGTTGCTGTGTTTACATCGGTAACTGTGTGACGGGACCAAGAAAGGTCTCTGGTCGTTTTAAACATAAGTTTGAGTATCAGCCAAGGGACGCCATCCTCGACTATGCTATCTAACGCATTGACTGGGAGATTGAGGTAACTCTATTTCTGGTTCCATTGATTCCCATACATCTTCATTTCCCAATTTGACACCAAGAACACGCTACACTAAAACAAAACGCAACATCGATAGACCATTTGTCATTAGAGACATCCACAATCATTCAGCAGTCAATAAAGATTATAGGACTCGTGACCTCGTTCTCGTTATCCAATCAGCACTTCCGTTATTGCAAGACCCCCGGGCGCCACTTGGTTCAGATCTCTTAAACTCATCTGGCTTGAAACCACTGGGCTGCAGACTTAGAGGGAGATAACTGGGTGGGTCACTCAATAGGCTTGATCCGATATGAGATGAGTGCCGACGAGAAGGAGATTAAATGATCATGTGAAAGTTGTAGGCTACTTTGTGACAATTGAAATGTGGCCGTTTTTCTGTCCATGCATATCCATAGAGATACCCACTGATGGTGCAACATATTGAGATGTCACTGTTGTAATTGGCGCTTGGGTCCAGGGCTGACAGAAAAAAACATCATAATCGTGGCGATTCTGGAATCCAATCCGTGATCACCGGATCCTGGCTTTACACAGCGATGTGCGACGCATGTGACCATTGCCCCCTCACCCATTTGTGTCTCTGAATGTGACTTAATGACGCATAAACACTATTACAGTTTCCCAAAAGGATAATATTGTGCTAAAGTTCAAAGTTATACGTCAGTTGCAGTGCAATTACAACAAACCGAAGAATTATTGTAACAGCTCTACTTGCTACTGCATTATTACAGTTATAAGTGGCTGAATTCTATTCCGCAAAAAGAAACACTCGATCGGACATATGACTAAGATCCAGATGGTATTTCTGCTACTGACCGAAGATAAAACGTTACATGACAAAGCTGCTGGATATTTGATTAATTGTGCAAAGTGAAATTATTTGATCAGCATTACACCAGCGTGTCAAAATCAACTGATCGAATTGTCGAGACCAAGTGTGTTTGAGCGTACAAAAACCTTGTACTGTGGGAACAATGAAGTTTGCTGGTGATGGAGAACGATTAAATCCTTGGGCGAGATTGACATGTGTACATAATGGCGCCTGTAAAGTTTGATCAGGGCTCAATCGGCAATCCAAATTGTGGAATTCAACAGCAAACGTACTTCAGGTTAAGTGGGATGTTGGAAAATTCCGTCAGCGGTTGAGGCAATTGACGACTTAATACAAAGACAGTTGTTATACTTGGTGATAACGATGGTTAGATGCTTGGTGCACGGCTAAATGAGCGGAGTGGAGCGATGTGACAGGTTTTAGGCTTCCTAGGTCATAGGTCAACAAAGACTAAAGTACTTTCTGTTTCGTCAAGGAAACAAAGCCAACAAAAGGGTAAAAAAGATCCGGTTTTGTAGCTCGTCGCCTTATTGAAATTTAGAGCAGGTATCAGCGATAAACAGTCCACTTCATCTCCATATTTCCTATCTTTTAAAATTGTTGTTAATCAGCAGTACTTATAATAAACAAATATGTTTAGTTGATACATAAACGTGTAAGTTATGTAACATATCCTTTCGGGTGTAATATACACCTTGAAATAGGTTAACCACCACCCATAATGGGTACAATTTGTGAAGCCCGTATCTGGTGTGCCTCGCCGTGATATTGCTGGAATATTGCTAAAAGGGGCGTAAAACCACTCACTCACGAAATTATGTTTATATATTCTGAACTTATAACACATAACTTCATTGTCATAGTGGTTGGTAACCGTCTAGCGCCTGACGCCTAAGCATTGGTTGAATACTCCCCATGGAGCTGAGAATGATTGTTGAGTGCACACTGATCCAGTGACCGGGGTAACTATTATTATTATTATTGATGTTGTCTAAGATGCCGCCAGAACATGTACTGACAGTTTATGAGTGAGTGAGTATGGTTTTACGCAGCTTTTAGCAATATTTCAGCAATATCACGACGGGGGACACCAGAAATGGGGTTCGCACATTGTACCCATGTGGGGAATCGTGACGTGCCAACGCTTTAACCACCAGGCTACCCAACCGCCCCTATGATACACCGATGCAGGTAAATCAAGTAACTATACACAGGAACAGATACCAAACCTGTCGTACATTTCGGTAAATGATTCGATTTCAAAAGCATAATATATTGTCAGCCGTGTTTACTTTTTTCAAGTGGTATTTATATCGTGTCTATCACTACCAGCGAGAAACAACATATAAAATAACACAAAGTTCTGACATTTTGCTTGACATTTTAATTTCACCTTGAGCGATAAAGTCATTGCAATGATAAATGTGATATGCATCATAAACAAACAACAACAAATACACGTGTTTGAGGTCGTGTTGAGAATGTACACAACCAGATGAAAGATGAAGGACATCGAATCTTACATCAGAGGAGATAATCATATCAATGGTGTAGTCATTTATCTTTGAATAAAAACATTTTATTCAATTGAATACATCTTATTACTCTTACATCCAATCGTAAATGTTTCTGTAATTTTCTATTCTTGGTGGAAGTTCACCTTGTTTCTCAAACAGATGACATAAATTACAACGATACTGAGTTTGCTAAAATTAGGCTAAAATCATTACATTATAATATATTGCCTCATAGAAGGGGAAGCCGTAGCTGCGAGTTTGTTACTGACATGGATTTCATCTAGTTAGGTACATGTATGAACAATGAATCACACGTGTAACCATCTTGGCAGAGTTGTACTTATCTTACATTACACTAAATAGCATCAGTAGTGATCTGACACAAATTACATTACAGCCACAAAATTGACTTACAATAAAAAGCACACTGGTGTTGATTTACATATGTAAATGCAATATGTGATGAAATGAGAGTGCTGTGGGCATTGGAAGCACTATACAAGTAGTATGCAAAACCGACTAAGCGAAAAGAAAATTAAATGTCTAAAAATTCACTTTAATTTCTCAGTATCTAAAGTTTGAGTCTCTTTTTTTGTGTATAGTCGTGAACTGTCCACATCTTTACCAGCAGTTAATCAGTTCATTTAATAATATATTAATACTGATATAAAACCAAACACATTATTATCCAATAATGTTAATGTCATTCTCTGGGATCAAATATACTTATATATTAATACTCTAGTAAAATATTTTACAGGTACGTAAAACTCATAAATTATCTAATCCTTTACAGGTTTCCCTATCTTTTCTCCGCCCTGCCATCGAAGCTTCTGGAGATCTGATACCTCAAAGTATGACAACGGGTCGTCTTCAATAAAGTCATCATATTCCAGTTCAATGTCCACAGAACCGATTTCAGAAGGCGTGTTAATGCTCCTGGTAGGAGACATAGTTTTAGCACTTTTTGAGCTGCGACTGCTTTTTGTACTGCGAGGTGTGGAACTCTTGGAATGTTCCTCCCTTGTGGGAGATTTTGGACTCTGCCCATCTGGTTTAGGTAGCAGTTTCTGGCGCTCTTCCATTGCAGACGGCTTCCTTTTGTCTTCTTTCGACTGTTTTTCAGTTCGTATTTTGGGTTTAGCACCAATAGACTCTGTTGAATAACTCTCTGTGAGAGAGGTTGGCCGTCTTGCTTTGACAGACGACTGGATGAATGAAGTAGTTTCATTATTTGCATCAGGGTACCTTTCATCCCCATTCAATCGGGAATGTTCCTCACGAAGACTCTCCAGTATAATCACTTCATTCTGGGGTGTCCTATCACCCCCAGGTGTCCTTGCAACAGCTAAAGAACCTTTCACCGGTATCACGCTTCTATTCACAACTGGTGTGGGTGTCTCTGGCGTGGCTATTGGAGCATCTTTTGATGATCCTGAGGAACCAGTAACTATCCTTTCAGATTCATTAGTTAGCTGCTCCTTTCTCTTCTTTGTAAGAAGTTCATGTTTAGTTTTAGATGGTGAACATGGAGTTGCTGCCCCAGGAGAATGTTTGAACTTTGGTGAGGGGTGAATTTTAGGTGACCTTGGTCTACAGTTTTTTAGATTTGGACTAGCTTTAAAGAAATTTGCATTATGCAGAAACTCTTCAGGAGGTGAGTGCGCAGTATATGGACTAGGTAAGGGGGAATAGTTTTTAGTGGAGGGTTTAGGACTACCTGTTACAGATTCTGCCTTCGAACGTAGTTTCTTGAACCCAGCACTGCATGTACTAGATATTGAAGAACCCCTTGACAACATAGTATCCTTTTTTGTCGCCTCACCGGTAAGAGGTGCCTCAACGTCGACGTTAGTTATCCCAGGAGGCGGGCTACTACATCGACTACTGTGCATACTGGTACTACGAGCTATGTGCAGTGGGCTCTCGGAGGCTGCCATTGCGTATTTATGCCGTTTGTGATAGAGTCTGTGAAAAAGCACGAAGGTTATGACGACTAACACAATGAGAACACACAAGGCTATTCCAACGACGGCTACTTTGCTGTCGAGAATAGATGACTTCTGCCGACGAATTATGGTGGATGTACGTGTACCACCTCCAGCTGTAAAAAAATGAGACATTGTTACCAGAGATCTAGATACAGGTTAGATGTGTTACAGAGGACGGTGTATTGTGTTTACGTTTTATACTGAAGCAATAACACAGTTCATATATCCTTACATACGCAACAGATTTAAGGTTGATGGCACTTTTGTTCTAATATTTTTATACACTTCGTTTCTTTGGGGGGCTATGTCTGGGGCTATGTCCTCGCGAAGTTTCTAACAATCTGATTGAAATATTTCTAATGTGAGAACATATCTGTTCATAATTTGCTCAATAAATACTGTCGGACAAAAGAAAATGACTAAAAAACAAACACGCAAAAGGTATTTGATGGCAATGCATCTGATAGATGTGTTGTGGACCTTCAGTTTGTTGTGTTTGGGAGACTGTGTTTATCCTAGTAACGTTTTGATAACGTTTATAATTTCAAGTGCATACTTTATTCTGCCCCACAGTTTATTTATTCAATCTACTATCAAAATTTATCTTTAGTTTCTACCATGACCAAGCAAGTTATTTCTGTTGACATGAACAGAAAAAGATAGTACTTGTTTCAAACAAAGGTTAAATGTATGTCATCCTAAGACGACCTTAGTGTGAAGAAATACATAGGAGCTCATTTTCATTCAAGTTGATCGGATATACCATGGCGAATGTTCTCTCATAGCCAATATAATCGCTACATTTTATCCATTTTTAATGTTCTTTAAAGGTTGTTTTACTTTTAACATATCAATGATAAACCCCTCTTTCTTAAAAAAAGCACTCACCAACTACCCTATATGATGCGATGAATCCATGGAGGTGAATAGCCAGCGTTGCGTTGATGGGAAATATTGCTACAGAACTTGGAACTTCATCAGAGACAGAAGTCATCAGTTCAACAGTCATCTTGTTGGACGAAGAGCTGATGTCATTTTTAGGTTGTTCACCATTTGTGCTAGTGTACAATAGGTCTGATACAGGCGTGTCACCATCGCGGACCTTCACCCACTGTTTGGACTCCAATATATCGAAGTGTGTAAACGTGAGTTTAATCTGCTGTGTGTCTTCTACCTCTATTGTCCACGTAGCTCTGCCGGAGCACCTGCCACTAGCTATTATTTCCCCTGAATGAGAAGACATCCCACACCCACACGCACACCGCATGTCGAATTTGGGGGATTTCAGAGGGCCATTGGGTAGGTATCCTACAAGAAACGAGACATTTAGAATATCAGTGATCAGTGAAATGTTTCATGAGTAAGTGAGTATGGTTTTACGCAGCATTAGCAATAGTCCACCCATATCCCGCCGACGAGGGCCACAAGGAATAGAGATTTTAACCTTGTGGGGAATCAAATCAAGGTATTTTGGCGTAACGAGCCAACGCTTCAACCACTAAGGCTTCCTCACCGCCCCACAATTCAGTAATATTCATTCGTGGTGTAGCCCACATAAAATATATATCTTGCTCTGATGTCCTGTGGCCGTCTTAAGGTTGAAATGTTACCTATAACATTTCTCACTCATGTACATGTATTTACCTTCAGGATATCTTTTAACTATCAGAAAATGGCTAAATATTTTACCAGAGTGTATTAGAAGTTGTGGAAAGGTATCTACCTGGGCATTTCATAGTACAAGGTTTCCACTGGACGGGGTCACCTTCACAGAACTTGCCCCCATGGAGAGGGGCGGGGTTATTGCAAATTCTGAAGCGGTTCCTTTTTCCAGAGCCACAGGTGACGGTACAGAGAGACCACTCGGTCCATTCACTCCATTCGCCGTCTATGTAAAACACTGTAACAAAGAAATACATGTTATATTTCAAATCCTGGTTGCAGCAATTTAGTAAGCCCAAGAGCAGTTATCCATCAGGCTCTCACAATGTAGAAGGTCTGAACATTGTGAGAAGACATGCAAACTCACAAACTAGTGTCATACATATAGCACGTAAAACCTGAACATTTCATTAGCCCTTTACATTTACTTTATGACTTGAAGCGGGAATCTTATTTTAACAATAACCGCCTTGTCTGTGTATGAATAACGCTTTAAGAGTTATGTGTCGATTGCCTGTTTCGCCCACACAAACCAAGAGGAAGAGTATGTAGAGGAATATTAATTCAACTTGAAACCCTTATACTAACATCAATGTAAACTATATATATGAACACATTCATCATTGACAAAACGAAATAAAATGTGTGACAAACCAAAACAATACACATCTCTTAATAATTGGTATAGACAACGTCTAAGAAAACACAGGGTTGGGATACTACTTCAGTTCATTGATGATTGACAGGCCTAAGGTATGTAGCTGATGAGTGCTCTTAGGAACACTCGCATTTGGCACACAAAGGGTTCACACACCAATGGACACATAAACGTGCATTGTTAATGCTCATTCACTTATAACATAAGAGAATAGTTGCTTGTGTTTTCGGAGAGAGATGACAGATCAACACACACTTTTCCAGGACTGACAGTTGAAGTCAACTTGACAGACAACTCAAGCTGCGCTATTCAGAGAGGCCTGACTTGGAACAGATCAAATTATATTCCCACTGCGGTGTTCTGGTCATGACAATAGCCGTTAAAACCCCAATGTCAAAGCTACGGGAAATAACAGTTTATATTCATTTGATATATCTTCTTGCTTAGTCCAGCAATGTAATAAAGTCATTCAGCTATGAATTTCACGGACATGTCGTTTTTTTACGCTTGAACACGTGTCTTGGCCATGTAATACTGACTGATTTGAACTAAATCACTGTGGTGGTATGTATATCTGGCGCCATATCTTGATCTAGGTCTGACTACATCTAACAAACATTGATCTTTGATTATCCGTTGTAGCTCCATACGCCAGCATTCACTACTAGTATAAACTATGACTCCTAAAAGACAAAGAAAGTTCTGACTCGCAGCTTACGTTAATAAAATAAAATATGACGTTATAACATGCATGATAGATTATGAGACAACATCAAGTAAAAAAAAGGTAAATTGATTTTTTTAAACACTGATAACATAAAGATGTAAAGTATACACAGAAGTGTGATAAAGCAGACATAACTGAAATAAAAACGAAATACAAAAGGTTTTTGTACAAAAAATAATACATAAGTATTCAATTAAAACAACAGTTTGACGCGATATACTTACCGGAAATGTAAAAATCCATATAAAGTGAGGTTGTGAAAAAAATCAATATCTTTATCAGAAATGTCAAAGAATGTAACATACAGATTTTTTCATAGCTGACACAGGTTTTATCCGGTTGTGTTCTGTTTTTCTTCTGATTGACAGATGCCATAAATAAGTGGACGTCGGGGGAGAAACAAATAACAAGGGCCATACAAACATCTTCTCAGCTCTCGAAAATCCAAACCTCTTTTAGGTTTCATAAACAATCACTACTCTGACACTCACATGATTGAGGCATTTGTAACATAGGCGTGTGTCAGAGGGGGTATAGCCTAAAGCAAATGTAACCATTGCCACATAGAGCTCGTCACTAGTCCTGGAAAACGTAGACATTTCAGGTTCTTGGATGAGACTTGTTGCCAACTTGACGCCACTAGTCATAACATGTGCTGATGAAAGCAGTCAAGCAACATTTAAAGTTCAACAACCAATGATTCCATTCAATAGCAATTAAGTCACTAACCAAGTGCAACACTCTTCTTATTATTTGCCTTGTATTTCCTCAAATTAAGATCATTGGATCTAGATTTCTATAGTCTCGTGGTCACTCACTGGAAAGGTTCACAACGAAGTTAATATGTGCACCGATTTATCACTGAAAGTGCCGTTTTCGCTATAACCCATCACAACCATTAAGTCAAAACGGTGTATGTAATTAGTGGTACTTCAATAATGGTGATTAAGTGATGAACATAAATCAATAGAGGGACACCAGTCACTCTAAACGATTATTCAGAAGAGTTGTACAATATATCAATTTCACATAACAGAGGAGCAATATTAATAAGAAGTGCAACAAAGTAATACATATCGCATGAATTCAATACGTTCCTAAATACTACGAGGATGTCATGGCCACGATGGCAGTATTTATTGGGTGGTCAAAACGTATTGAGGTAATAAGATTGCTTATTTATGGATTTCATTAATAGTTACCAGTTTTCACGTATCATTACATGAAGCTGTGACAAACATCAAGTTCACAATATGGAATGGTTGAGTCTTTTCCGGCTTTCTACTTTATAGTAGATACTCCATGTATCAAATACACTAAATCCCTTCCATCCATGCACTGTATTACTTATCGTGTATAATCAGCAAGGGTTAACGGTAAACTCCATGTATCGCTTCACGTTTTGGAAGCATTAATTTACGTTCAACGATATATTGAGTAGCATACCTGAATCGGGATGAGCAGCAAGACACTGTTGTCTCTGCAGATGCACTGCTCCACTTCTTGAAATGCTGACATATTTGAAACAAAATCCGGCAGCTGTCTTGTTGAAAAATCTACAGCTAAGTTCAAACGAGTTCCTATTTGGATTAGCATGTCTCTCAATGATGTATTTCTGTCTGAGGGGAGCTGCCAACGAACCATTAGTTGTTGTCCTCAGCTCGTACATTCGTATCCTGTCTTGAAGATGCTTCTCAGTTCTGGCACATGCTGGTTGTACATACACGACAGTTATTGCACCTTTACAAGGGAATATACTTTCCTTGCGGATACTTATGCTATAAGATTGACTCCATGTAACATTGAATACGTTGCTTCTGGTCACAACTGTCCCTGAGTTGAAAGTGGACTTAAGCACAGCTTGGTACGATCCATCAAGGTCAAACAAGTCACACTGGTATTGAATTGTCTGTGTCCTCTTTGACAGGTTTGTGTAGTTAAAAGTATGCTTAATCATTGAACTTTCCATTGGTAAAATAGCCACTGCTGAAGCACGTCTTTTGAAATATAATTCTATAAAAAAAGATTCGCGATGTATTTTGGGTTCACATGTTGCTCGTGATTGAATTCGCAACGGGACATTTTCTGTGAGTGCGAACCTTCGACGATCTGGAAGAAATAACTGAATCCTAGGCCATTCCACAATGAATGTGGTTTGTGCTAGCAAACGGCTGCCTACAAACATATACATTTGTAATGTGTAGGCTCCTGCATATTCTAGGACGCCACAACTGAGGATGAGTTTTCCTGTATGCGTGCCTGGTCGAATGTGTAGAGATGTAATCTCGTGTTCCTTCAGTCCTTCCTCGGAAAAGAGGATGGTGACGAATGCACTGGACATGGATATATTTTGTGGCACACTGTATCCTATTTCTAGATCCCCAGAGAAGGCAACATGAGTGGACGGCACTGTGAGCTGGTACACACCTCCTGAAAGACACAAGCGATATAATCACAGTGAGAATAATAAGTGATGGAATTTATACTATAAAATTAACAACATCAACAATGAATTTTAGTGGTTGAACATGCAGTCATAATCTAAATATTATTTTTATATTGAAATTTCCCTTTTGTTTAAACTCTCATGAGAAAATAGCTCCATATAATACCCCCATGTCCCTATTAATCAGCAACATGTGTTCCAAGAATGTGTGTTGTAGAAGATTCACACACACACCGTTTCACTGTCTCACCACTTCCTTCCACGAGATTTGAAATGAACACACTAGGGCTACATGCCATGCTCGAATCTGAGGCATAAATTATGTAACTACTTAAAAACTCATGTAGGAAAAGGCTGTGTGTTATCTTCCGTGAAGTATGTGAAGCTTATATGTATTCGCATAGTTTCAGAACAAAATATGTTTGGTTTAGAATTGGGCAATATAGCTTACACCAACATTTGTGCTTCTATTGGGCCCACAAAAGACTAATCCAGATGCATACTTACGAATGTTAGTTCTAAGCAGTAATACATACCGATACCTTTCTCATGACAATCTTAGATGTGATCTAAAGCATTACCAGTGCAGTCAGTAGCATATCTATCATAGAACCCCGTTCACTGTTTTCTTTGGGGACATTGCTTAAGCCTTTCAAGCTCTAAACGCTTCAGGTGAGATAGACCTGGCTATCGATTACCTGTCGATAGCTCCCTTTGATGTTTATCAGGTAAATAAGTCTATGATGAGAACATTACGTTAAGTAGGAGACCCACATATGACATACATTGTTTTGACCTGAAGTCATTTACTTACTGATAACAGTTAGGTGGCAGATTGTCTATGAAAATATTTACGACAACATTTGGTACAGGAAATCTGCATATAGATAACTGACTTGAATACCCATGTTAAATAATGGCAATATGTGAAATATGGGCAGATCTATGAATGTTTATGTGTGCATTCAAAATAGCCATAGTCAAAACTGTATTCGCCGATAGGGACTAAATTTGTTCTTTGAGACTTAATGTTCGCCTTTATCAGAGGCTTAGATCAGTTGGTATGGCACTGAAGTCATAAAGAAATAATTATTACGAAGCCTCATATCCTGTGAAACGTTCAGATATCAAACAGCTGTCATTATCGTGATCCCGCGTACATGGCGAGAAATCCTCACTGAGACAAGTTTTATAGAGAGCAGAGCTTAATGAAGGACTGTGAAAGCCTCCATTTGCTACTGCTGCTTGGCTGGGTTGGTTATTGCAGTAGAATGCATGTGCGAGCCAGGCCATAGAAATATGCTAACATAAAAATTCTCTGAGTGCTCTCGGTGGACAAAGGGCCTATAAAGGCTTTGAAAAACAACAAAATTGATTCTTGATACTGTCCCTGAGGATTCTAGTTTCATTGATAGAAAGAGATTTTGCTTATAATGCCACATTGGATGTATTCAAGGGGAATGAGGTGTGGGTTATTCACACATGTTAGTACCAATATGGACATTATTTCAGCAGCAATACCAGTAGTGTGTATATCCTCTCTGTAGGGGGCAGTAATTCCAAATAAAATGTAATTTGGTTTTACATTAATTTCACGATGGATAGGACATGATGTAAGATTTTCATTTGCTTGCTGCTTAAAATAACTATTACACGCACATGATGAGGGGGAAACAATATTGTTAATGTGAATGTCTTTAACAATGATAATACTAAATAGTAATTTCCTACAAGTATACACAGGAATTAATCAGAGAAAGTATACCTTGTGGATCCCCTGTCAAACACACAACGCCACACACCTCCTTGTAATGCTCTCTCGTTATTGTCATTTAGGAGCAAACTCGAGGAGTATAGTCACGTAAGAAGTCCATTAGAGCATGAATACATGCGAGTTAGCCTACCATTCAAGACGTGTAATCATGTAGCAAGGGCCATAAACATAGCAGTCCCGGCCATATCAAGTGTCTACTTGTAAGCCTACAAATATTTTAGTCAGTACCTTACGAATATTGAAATAATCACGTCACTGGCATTAGTGTTTGCATATAACATACAGGTTAATCTTCCCTCGTGATTGTAATCTTCAGGTCTTTACTTCAAAGTGTACAGAGAATAAAGTCAATATCGCTGTACCAAATTAAAGGGAGATAAGAGGTTATGGTAATACACGTTCAGCCTGTCTCGATCCTCGAGACAAGCCGAACCAGAATCCGCCGTGATATGTCATCGTGATCCATAGGACCTTTACTGGTACAGGCCTACAGTTCAGATATCACACACTGTTATCCAATCACCATAATTGTTTCCAACAAAATCATTTAGCTTGCTACACTGCTGGGGGTAATTATAAGGTACTGTCAGTGACATTGGCTGTGGAAATTTATATATTCTAAAAGTTTCAACCACATCTTGATGCTTGGTGTGCAAAGTGTTTACGGCAAAGTATATATGCATAAGCTTCTCCTACCCTCGAGGCCTATGACATTGTGGGTCAGCATGATATACACGTATACATACTTCACAGAATTATCGGACCATGTACACCACCTTTCATTATCCAGTTTGTCACCAGTCATATGGATACATTATTACAACTCCGTTGTGTGAGGTAATCATGGGTATGACTAACGTCTCTTGTTACAGGTGTCGCTATATTAGTGCAATAATCTTTGACGCGACGTTAAATCCCATTTCACCTCACCTCTTTTTATAGGTGTTAACAAGTTTCCGTCACGGCTTACATGGTAAATACATGAACAATTCCTTGTAGGATTAATCAAATATGACAATGAGCTATGCTCCTATTGTAATTAATTACCAGCATAACTTAAATATAGTAACATGAATGATTCTGCTATCATATGTCTGTTTCTTATTGATTTTGTAACGACAAAGACAGCCAAAAAAGACAGCAGAACGTGTGGCATATCGGAAACACACACAAACACCCGTTAAACCTAATTATTAATTAAGGGGCTCAAACCATGCTTCTGACAGTCCAGTGTCTTGGAATTGCAACAATGCGTAACGGTCAATATTTTATAAGCCAAGTAACATACGGCATGTGGAAAAACCACGGACTGTAAACATTGCTCTTTCTGTTACATGAAAACAGAGCAATGTTCTATTCAAGAAAACCACCATGCTATGTGATGCTTTTCAAAGTGATTTCATTTATGCTTGAATAAATATACAAAACAGGGCATTTTATGGTATAAATTATAGCTCACGTGCACCCGAGAGACACGAGTATGATTATCATTTTGAAAGAGATATGGAAACCGTATCGTGTATACAATGCTGTTTATACAGTTCGTGGATAGACAATCTACATTAAAATATGACGAATATTATCATTACACGTTTCTGAGAATTACACATATATTAGGTTTAAGGTTTTTACTGTTTCTTGAAATATGTAAATATAACATTAGTGGTTCAAAAGAAGTATGTTACACGAACCTGTCCTCAAACAATAACACGAAACTGCACAACTCCGCATACAGGAACGCTACATGTGAAATCTATCCAAGGATGCTCGTCTGACATATTATTTACAATATCTTTGCAAGGACCAGGAAAATGCACTGAAGTAGTCCGATGAAGAAAAGAGGTGTGAAGTCTTTATGCATTTATTTGAAGTTGCTCGACTTTTGAGGACAACTCTGCAACGTGCCCTGATATGGCTGTCCAGTATTACTGGGTATGGTAAATGAATATTTAACCCATCTGATAAACTTAATAAAACATCATGCCTAAATGTCCATCCCAGAGAGAGAGAGAGTGTGTGTGTGTGTGTGTGTGGGGGGGGGGGGGGGGGGGGGGGGGGGAGACAGACACACGGAGAGACACACACAGAGGGAGAGAGAGACAGAAAGGGAGAGACAGATGGTGACAGAGAGAGTTAGGGAGACAGACACACGGAGAGACACACACAGAGGGAGAGAGAGACAGAAAGGGAGAGACAGATGGTGACAGAGAGAGTTAGGGAGACAGACACACGGAGAGACACACACAGAGGGAGAGAGAGACAGACAGGGAGAGACAGATGGTGACAGAGAGAGTTAGGGAGACAGACACACGGAGAGACACACACAGAGGGAGAGAGAGACAGAAAGGGAGAGACAGATGGTGACAGAGAGAGTTAGGGAGACAGACACACGGAGATACACACACAGAGAGAGACAGAAAGGGAGAGACAGAATTTGAGGGAGAGCGACAGAGAGAGAGACAGAAAGAGAGGGAGAGAGACACACAGAGAGAGGGAGAGAGACAGAGAAAAGAAGAGGGAGCGAGATGTCGGTCTTCGATAACTTCAGTGTTTCACCTTCATGCAAACACCAAACACCATACAGCATTTGTATTTTATCCACTGATCATTGTATATCCCTTTCAAGGAATGTCCGTTATATTTACACGCAATACAATATGATCCGGTTGCGGTGGAAGGTATGTCTCGGTACCACACGTAGCTAATTATTCACCGAGCTTTGTAAACCATGAATCTCGTTTTGTCATCTTTAAGTATTTATTTATGATGCATCATAAAGAAACACTTTCAGTTACTCGTCCTTACCTTTGATATGATGGCCTCTATTGAAACCGACCATTTACGTTTTCTGTAGTGTCATTGTAAACGGCTATAGAGGCATATCAGGGCTATCAATGTTATTGCCATTTTGTCGAATCGATGTTATTGGGCATTCCAGGCAGCTGTTACGATCAAAGGATTGAGTAATGCAGAGATCATGTACACTGAATTATATCGTCGTGTGATAGGAGATATAAAATCTAAAGAACAGATTGGTCTTTATCACGCCATGCATAAGATTAATCGAAATAAAATAAACCGCCAGTGTCGTTGACCAAGGTTGAGTAACATTTGCCACTTCAAAGTGGTTACCACTATCTTACATTAAGTATCAGATTCAATCTTATCTCCGTGTTAAATGCATACTCGTTTTCTCTTTCAATTTAATAA